ATAATTAAAAATGAACTGCGCAACGCGTGCCGTCACGTCACAGATCAGCAAGCATCAGGATTCCATTTAGCACGTGTGGAGCTTTTTACAGTCTATGGTGTGGAGACGAGAACGAGTCAAATTACAGAAAAGCAAGATAATGGCGGAAGATTTGGTGTCAAAACGCAATGCAAAAGCGCCTGTTTGGCAATATTTTGGCCAATATATATTAATGTTAATAAATGCCAATTTATAGTGTTTTACTTTTTTTTAGAGTGCTGTCATTTATGTAGGCTAAGGTCCTTTTTAAAGTTTTTATTTTATATTCGTCTCTTTTTATTTGGTTTTATCTTATTTAAACTTTGTTTAATTTATTTAGGCCTATTTTGTTTTCTTATTCGTTAATAAACGTTTTATTTTTATTTTTTGGGCCCACAGTTTGCGGATTTTCACTTTTTTCAGCCTATGCATGGGGTTATTTTTATTCGTTCGTTATGCTAATAAAAGTTCTGTCTATATTGTATTCGTTTATTATTCTAATAAAAGTGCTGTCTAAATAAAAGTTTATTGTCAGCGAGTTGTTTTTTTTTTTTTTTGTTGTTGTTGTCCATTCCAGCAATTGACGCTGAATTGCAATTGACGCTTATTTCGAAAGTGAAAGTATGTAATTTATGTAGGCTAAGGTCCGTTTTGAAGTTTTTATTTTATATTCGTCTCTTTTTAATTGGTTTTATCTCATTTAAACTTTGTGTAATTTATTTAGGCCTATTTTATTTTCTTATTCGTTAATAAACGTTTTATGGTTCTTATTTGTTTGGGCCCACATTTTTGCCGATTTTCACTTTTTTCAGCCTATGCATGGGGTTATTTTTATTCGTTCGTTATGCTAATAAAAGTCTATAAATAAAAGTTTTATTATCAGCGAGTTGTTTTTTTTGTCCATTCAAGCAATTGACGCTTATTTCGAAAGTGAAAGTATAACGCGCACGCATTTAAAAGCTATTTAACCCCCCCACCCGCCCTCCACGGTGACACCGGGATTACCGGTGTTGTCACACGTCGATTAACCGGTGGGAAATTTTCCTCACCGCGGCAACCCTACATTCTGGTTGTATTCACTCATTTGATAATATTTTCATTTGAGATGCATACAGTGATTCTGGGTGATTTCAGATTTCTGAGTCACTTGAAAGTTCGTAAAAGACTTGATCCCACTTCAGCTCTGCCATCCTTGTGTGAATGCAGGTCCTCTGTGTGATATCCAGATGGTTGAGGAGGTGAAAAAATTTGCCGCCTTATTGAATCAAACCCAGCCATTTCCTGTGCCTGAGTCGGCGCTCTTCTCCACACTCTCCATATAAGGCAATGGTATTTGCATGAGGGAACGGCCTGCCATGTCAGTATGGATCTAAGACTGGTGCTGCTGACGTTTTTCAACTGCTGTAGGATTACAGCGTGGAAATGATCTGTAAGGCATTCTCTGGCAGGGTCTTACAAGGAGAACAATGGATTTTTAATTTTCTCTCCTCGTTCTTATGAATGAAGCATTTTTTTCTTTCGGGAATGTTTTTGTACAGTTGTACATTTTCTAAACTGCCACACACATAAGTGGGTATAATGAAGGGCAGATCTTCATCTGTGTTCAAATGTGACGCCAGTGAGACTCAGTTGGAAGGGTGATGTTATTGTAGCCTCCCTCATTAGTAGTATATATACTCTCCAGATGTGCCATTCAACAGTATGGAGAATCACATTACACTGACTACACAGCTGCTCCTTAGTCAATTAACACTATGAATTTCCTAATTTATTATGCAGCCATTTGGATTACTTGATTATGCTTGGTCAAGTACTGTATATCCAGATTATTTGCTGTCATCCATGGTAAAATGGTATAACATGGTGCATTCAAGTCATGTCCGAAAGATTGTTGTTTTCTTATTTCATATTTACAACTTGCTTTTTCAGAGCTGTTCTCTTCCCACTGTTTCTAGTGAGTGAGCTTTACTGTAAAGTAGTTGGGGTTGAGATGTTTTATGCTAAGTTTTATTTAAAATCCTGATTTATGCCTTCCCAGGGAGTTTGGGGTTTTGACCTTGCTTGGTGCAGATGGGTATCATGTTTGTCATGGTGTAAATGATGCCTGCTGTTCCTGGGTGAACCACAGCACAAGCTTAGTGAACTTTAGCCTCCCTGGTTTCCGGTGTTCCTTTACGAAACGGAACATTTTCATCCCTAAATAAGCCTAGTGGGAGCAACTATAGCTCTTTAAAAGCAGAGATGCTGTTTTCTCTCTTTTGCTTAACTTTGTGTGGTCTACAACTTTGAGTTTGGGACAGTAGGTGTGGTCATTCTCTAGAAGGAGGAGAGCAAATGATGGTGATGTTCTTTGTCTAGTCCTTTGTAATCATGTTTTTGACCAATGTTGTTAAATTAATAGATTAGTTCAATACATGAGGGAACAGAATATGTAGGACTTTTCAAATTAAATATGCTACAAATGAGCAAACCGTAAAAGATTATGCTAAGCAAACCAGTGATGTCTCATTATGATGATGATTATTATTATTATTTAAGTCCCGTTTAAATCATTGTGTGTTCACATACTGTATATAGCATCCTGTTTTGCATGTCTTTGCTTTGGCTCACAGTTTATAAGCAACACATGCTCGGAATGAAGATCCTTTTCAGGTGTTTCTGTGTTCTGTGGTGTGACAGTGATGTGAACTTAAACACTGTGAAAGAAAGGGTTCAATAGAATTAGAAAAACAGCCACAGGACAATGAACGCTCTCTCTGTTATATGCAAAAACTACTAAACAAAAACGGTCTGTAAAGATCTGAAATAAGTGTTTACTGTTCCGTTTAAAACGCTGCTTTCCTCCTTAATTGCGTTTGAGGAAGTACCACTACTAATAATGTTCAGGTGAAGTACCTTATGTTGTCATGGTGTTCAGCTGTTATTGTGTTTCTTTATTTTCCTGTAATTTACCTCGAACTTGTACTGTGCTTGTTTACGATGGCAAGTTAATTAGTCCTTCAAGGGAGGAGAGAAATCTTCCATACTTGGTCTGCTTCTACTTTCCTGCGCAGCTAGATTGAGAGTTTTTCAGTCTGTGGAATGTACAATTTTGAGAATGTTAAATGATTTTTCCAGTTTACCTCATATCATTGTCATGACATTCTTCAGCTTGGGAAAATTTCTGTAAGAAAAGAATAGACAAATGTGCCCTTCAAAATGCAGTCTATGACTGAACATAACAGAGGAAAATGTTTAAAACAGCAGTGCGTTTGGATCATGTGCTCTCCAAAGCGGTGCACTCACTGTTTGTGTCTGTCTGGCTGGCTCATCTGACCTCCTTTCTGGAATCACACTCATTGTACGCATCTCTTTTGATGTCCTGTCAAATGCACTTGAGGCTTTGTGTCGTTCTGAGTAAGTGGCCAGTTCCTCACGGCGGGGCCATTGTGACCTCAGAACGGTAGCCAGAAGCCGTTGACTCACGTCCCATGATGAATGACCCAAGCTCTTTGGAGACTCTGCAAAAACAATATTAGAGCGAAAGCAGAAGGAGACTGAAATGGGAAGGTATAGGTAAAAAGGGGGACAAGGGAGAAGAGGAGAAATTGTGAGAACATCAGGAGAAGATCAAAAGAAGTGTTTGTAGTACTCGATGAGCTTTAGGGAGACTCCTGACCATGCGCTTTTCATCCATTTAGAAAAACAAAATCAACATCTGCTGCGGTGAAAAAGAACGAGCTGTGTTAAAAGTACTGCAGGCGGGGAATTGGACGTGGTCATTTCGCTGAGTGGACTCTTTTCTCACATTAACTGTTGTCAGCAGCAATGTACTGTTTATCAGTCTTCATGACTGTGTTCAAGACTGAATTAGTGCGTAATGTCTCTTTCAGTGGCGGCATTAAACTATTAGTTTCTGAACAGATTCATCAACAACTTTCTAACCCCCCATCTGCCACTGTACAAGTGAAAAGGTAGTTCGTTCCATTGGTTTTTTTATGATGCTCACATGATGGCTAATAATATGATATCAGTGCGGAAGGATCATAATATCAAATAGAAACTCATTCATACCCTTCTTATAAAAACATCTTAAACCAGCCTATTTATTAATATTTTGAATTAGTTTTATTTTTCAATTTTAGTTTTAGTCATTTCAGTTTTAGTCATTTTTATGTGATTTTAAATTATATATATATATATATATATATATATATATATATATAACATTAATTAATTGTTAATTCAGTTTTAGTATTTTAGTTTCATTTTTACCTAGAGTTAGTTTAACCTTATTAAATTCAAGGGAACATTTCTAAATTTTTAGTTTCTTGAAGTTTACGTTTTTTGTGTGATGTTTATATTTTATTTCAGCCTCAACTACCACATTTTTTTTTATAAAGTTTAACAATAATAACAATACTAGTTGGTTGTTCTGCTGGCTTGTTTTAGAGCCATTTTGTGCCATTTTCAGGTTGCTAGTTAATCACCAGATTGGTAGGACTTGTAGGCCATCTTAAACCAGCTAACAAACTAACAAACAAGCTTTAGGATGGTTTAAGTAACTTTTTAGAAGCATTTTCTAGTGACAACTGACAAGGTAATTATTGTTGCTTAGGTACCACATGAACAGGCTTGCTATACCATCATTATTCCTTGCTAAACTGCCCAAAACTCATACTCATTACTATTAGTTTAGGAAAAGTTAAAGGGTTAGTTCACCCAAAAATTAAAATTGTCATTAATGACTCACCATCATGTCGTTCCAAGCCCGTAAGACGTAAGTCTAACGGCTTTCTTACAGTTGTCTTCTTACAAAGTATTTAAACATTACAGTAAAAAATATGATGCTAACTATAAGAAAACTAGTCATGGAATGTCTAGTGTTGCCTTATGGATATGCTAATTCAGTTTCTGCCAGCTAGAAAAACACACAAATACACAAAAGCTATGGGTGCGTATACAGTCTAACGAGAGTTTCTTGTTTGTATTGTCTTTCACAGGGGAGCCGGGGACACTACCGGTACCACTGGCAAAGCCACAATGTCAAGCAGAGTGGAGTGGATGACATGGTGCTGCTCTCCAAGATCAGCGAGGATGCCATTGTAGAAAACCTCAAGAAGAGATACATGGATGACTTTATTTTTGTATCCTTGTCCAGCTTTAGTCTCTTGGTCTAACTTGCTAATATCTTAATCTGATATGAAAATGGTCCTAAAAAGGGAGGTCTTTGCAGATGGAAGTTGCCTCACTAGAAAAATGTTCTTGGATTCCATTGAAGATTACATCTTGATTGTGTTTATTTTTACTAAAGTTTCACTAAACACTGACATTTAACGATGACGAAAGTTGTCCTTAAACTCTGGTACAACTTCCAAAACCATGTTGTCCTATTTTCCCACAGTAGCATGGACTGGTTTTGATCAAAGCCGCATGTGTGATGCTGAGAGCTTAGATTGCTGAAGGCGGCCAAAGAATGCTGGTTTACCTCTCTCCTATTTGAACCCAATGTACTTGGCAGGGTTCATGTCTAATTCAGCACACATTACTGGCACTAAAATGACTTTCTTGATAAATCACAGAATTTCTTGATGAAAACCTCTCTAGCAGTGTATTTTTATTTTCTGCCCTTATTAGGTTTATGGAGTCTTAGCAGACTCTGGCCATTTCGGTCCCAAATCAGTCCTGTGATTGTGGTCAGAAAATAGCAACAACACCAAAGTGTTCCAGTCAGCAGCATATGGAAATGAGGTCACAGCATGCCAGGCTCAATACTTCCTTTATTTGCAGTGAGCAACTTCGGGCCAGGCGGCCAAATAGCCCCAATCACTCACTGCCGGCTGTTCCCTTCCCATTGCATTCAGAGGAGAGAGCAGCAGCATCTTAATAAGCCTCTGACCCATTAACCAAAATCTTCACTGCAGCCACATATAACTCTTCACTGATGTCACCAGTCCATTATTCACACTCAGGCCATTTTTCATCTGCCAGTCCAGCCAAAGTTTTATGAATACTCTCTGAGTATTAGACAACCACAATGAGTGAAATGGTCCAAGAGGTTTTCCTCAATTGTGAATGCTAAACCTCTAATAGTTTTCAGAGAGAGTTTTCAGTCTAACAGTTTCACATAGAGAGAGAGAGAGATTTTGGATAGAAATGGTTAGTCATCCACAAATGAAAATTCTGTCACCATTTACTCACGATCATGACACTCCAAAACTGTATGACTTTCTTTGGAACACAAAAGAAGATAATTAACATTTCAACTGATTTTGTCCACATAATGAAAGTCATTTTGGTACCAACCAAACCAACATTGGGTCTCATTGAATTCCATTATATGGACATTTGTGTATATGTGTGTGTGTGTGTGTGTGTGTGTGTTTAACAAGAAAGAGTAAGTCATACAAATTAGGCTTTTGAAGTAAACTCTCCCTTTACTGCAACCTTTTCTTTCACAATTTTTTGAGCCTTGACCTTTTCCTTCAGACATACATTGGTCCTGTACTCATCTCAATAAACCCTTTCAAACAAATGCCTTACTTTGGGGACAAAGAAATAGAGATGTACCAAGGCGCAGTAAGTTGTCTTTTATGGTTTTCTGAAGTTTAGTCCTGATCCACAATAGACTGTTTACTGTGGTGCCATGTTATTGATAACTAAAACTATTTAACAATTATTTTCATTAATTGAAATAAATCTGAAATCAAATCAAATATAAATACTAAAGAATAAAAAATACTATTACTAACTACTACTTACGTAATTACTAATTACTAATTACTAACTGAAATAAAATAAAAAGTACTAAAATTACTAAAAAATTAAATAAATAAATAAAATAAATACAGCTAGATATAAATGTTAATAAAAATTACATATGGACATAGCTAAATGACTTAAATGAAAATCCAACCTGAAAATATAAAAATAAAAGCTAATTTAAAATATGAATACTTTCAAATTCAAAAAAAATAATTATAATAAATACTATAATAGTATAATAATGCTGCTAAAATAACACTGCTATGGTGTTCAAGTAACAGTTTTGTTGTAAAAGCTCTAGCCATTGGAAATTCTAATAGTTTCAGTAATGTTTTTTAAGTGTGTAGGTGTGGTGCAGCTGCTTTCTTAATCAGAAAAGTAGCTGCACAGGCCTGCCTTACCCATTGAAGTCACCTGGCTATGCCTCCACAGAACAGCATGTACGGGTCTATGTTCTCAACCACGCTTGCCCAGAGGTCTTGGCTCCTCCTCAAGCTTATGGTTGCTGTCAATAATCATTCGCTTGTGGAGGCTATACAGCAAAGACCATTGAATGTGTTTTGACTTGTATGCCGCACAGTAGCTTATTTATGAATCTGAGCTCAGGCCATCCTAAATATGAACCATAATGTAAATTATGAAATGTATCTGCTTTTCTCCATTTCTCCCCCTCTCTCAGGCTCAGTATGAGAACCCTCCTCATATCTACGCTCTAGCCGATAACATGTATAGAAACATGATGATTGATCGTGAGAACCAGTGTGTCATTATCAGGTGAGTGAACTTTTGAACTTTTGAACATGTCATCATCAAACTTTAATTAATTAATTAATTCTGATTAATTAATCAAATTGATTGAAATAAATGAATCAATATGTGTAGAGAAAAACCTCAGATGAAAATCGTTTGGAAAATATTACATTTGGCTGCTGTATTATATATTATATACTGTATCTTGGTTGATTTATTTCTATTTTATTTGTATTTGTCTGTTCTTCTATCTTTTAATTCTATTCTTCTATCTTTTAATTCTATTCAGGCTCTGACTATTGTGTTAGCTTTAGCTTTAGTTTCAATTTTGATATTTTTATGTCAAACCGTTATTGTCTGTCATTCATACAATGCAAGTCTATGGTCACCACCTCAAAGAGCATGCACAGAGAAGTCCAAATTACACATGATTTAATGACTCGTAAATGTAAGTACACATTGACGGCCTAAGACAAGAAATGAGCGGTTTGTGTGAGAAAACTATATATATATTTATATCATTTTTACCTCTTGTAACCACATCCACGTCCAAGTGATCTGAGGGCGTGGGTGCTTTATGGCTGTGGTTACAAGAGGTAAAAACTATATAAATACTGTTTGTTTTCTCACACAAACCGCTCATTTCATGTCTTAGGTCATCAATGTGTAATTACATTTATGCGTCATTAAATCATGTGTAATTTGGACTTCTCTTTGCATGCTCTTTGAGGTGGTGACCATAGACCTGCATTATATGACTGACAGACATGAACAGTTTGACCTAAAAATATCAAAATTGAAACTAAAGTAAAAAAATAATTTCAAAGTGAACTATCCCTTTAACATGACCACTAGTTGTGATATGTGTCAGGGCGCTGCCTACAAGGCTATCGGCTCTGACTATTGTGTTATTCTTTATATAATTATTTGTACTAAATTAACACGTTAAACTGGCAGTTTTACTTTTTAAACATGGAGACTAAGTGTTGCTCCATTTTGTTTAATGTGTGACATACAGTAGAAAGGGTGTGACATACAATTATGTTTGGTATGATATCAATGCAGACATTGCAGTAGGAGAGTCACCTGGCTGTCAGTTGGAGTGAATAAATCCTTATACTCTTTTGGTTATGTTATTAAGGGTGTACAGTTAAATTACAGTTGAATAGAACAGATTTAACAAGCCCAACAGGCTCAGTGGTTGAGTATAACTTTACCCCCTTTTGATGATCTACAAAACAAAGACCAAAGGGTGTAAAATTACTTTGTCTATTGTTATATTCTCTCCAGGATGTAGAGGACACAGCGCACAAGAGCTTTTGTTACCTGTGCTTCCTGCTGGAGCACAGGAAATGCACTTGTAAGGATATTGTAAATGGAGAAAACTTCACTGAACAGCCAGTTGCGATGGATGTAATATTTCTTAGTATTAATATTGTTAATTTATGAAGTAATCCGGTAATTCATGAAAAGACAGTCAGTCAAAACAAATTTCTTGATTGGAGAGCCACATGACATAAGGAGCGTCAATATTTCCTATTACACTTTAATTAACTTTTTCGAACTCTTTAATCTCAGTTTAATGGCTTACAAACTGCAATCCATTTATATGTATCTTCAGAAAAGTGAACACTGTGGTTCTTTAGTGCATTCAATATTGCACTGTTTGTTTTTACAGCAGCTTGTACAACAGTCAACTTCTGGCTCAAGAAGTGGTGTGTGTTCTTCTGGGAATGGGCAAAGAACTGACGAATTTGCTAAACAGCATTTTTTTGTTCTCACTTTTTGTGCTGCTAGTTGTCCAGGTTAAAAAAATTGGGGAATTTTAGCCCACCTTAGTTTAAGAAAACAACACGGTGAAGGAGGGGAAGTTGCTAACATGGAGATTTTCTCTGCTGACCTGGGCCATTTATTTCAGATCACATAGTCACCTGTGGGCTGGATGGTGACTGTAGTGCTTACTTCATAGTAAGTGACTTCAGTTTCAGCATTTTTCTCACACATTTGTTTGTATAGTGGGAAAACTGCTTCCAGTTCAGTTAGACCACATAAAGAGACTGGAAATGGAGTTGTGATGATCCAGATTAGTAAACAAAACCATGAAATTGCTGCCCAGGCATCCTGTGGTCAAGCTGTATTTTGGTTAGAACAGGCACAGGACCATTATGCATCAAAAAAAGATCCTTTTCACGTGGCCAGTTACCATTCAAAAGTTTGGGATTTTTGTTTGTTTCAGAGGTCTTTTTTGTTCACTGAGCATTTATTTGAAAAATACAGTAAAAACTAGCAATATTGTGAAATAGTACAATTTAAAATAAGCTTTTTATATTTTAAAATGTAATTGCATTTTCAGTAGCCATTACTAGTCTTCAGTGTCACATGATCTTTCTGAAATCATTCTGAAATACTGATTCATTTATCAAGAATTATTTCTTATTATTATCAATGTTGAAAACAGTTGTGCTGCTTAATATTTGAGTGGAAACCAGGATCCATTTTTTTAAGGATTCTTTGAAGAATAGAGTCTTCACAACAACCGCATTTATTTGAAACAGCTTTTTTTTAAACAATGTAGAAGTCACTTTTGATCAAGTTAATGTGTTTTTACTGAATAAAAGTATTCATTTTATTTAAAAATAAACTTACTGATCCCAAACTTTTGAACAGTACTGTAAATTGCCGCAATCTAGGATTTTTTAAGGTATTTTGTTTGGAATGTTGTGATCTTCATTGTGTATGGTGGTATAATGGTACATTAGATCAGTATTGTCTGGTGGAAACAATGAGGAAGGATGTGGCAGAATCTGCCATTTATTTACATAATTAGGCTTTGTATCTGGTAAAGGACAAATAAACTGACCATTTCGCTGAGATCAGTAACACTTCATCTTGTTATGGCTGACTTGGTGGTCTGTACAGTATGATATACAAAGCATTCTCACTCATCAGTGAGAGCCAGTGCTGTATTTGCTGAGCTGATGTTTCAGCTGCTGAATAATCAGTCTCATGACTCGTCACTTACTGAATGAGACTGAATGGCTGATGTGTCCATTTTTGGTCAGCAAACGTATGCAGGAAGTTGAAAAATAAGCATTACAGCATACAAATTACAAATCGCCCAAAGACATGTTTAAAAATAGTCATGGACAATTAATCTAAGTGGACTGAGTGTACAGTGTACGTTAAGAGTGTGTTCCCAGAGCTTTCATCGCCTGTATCCGAGCAGGGACATTTCCTTTAAGGTGGAGAGCCTTTAAACTCGCAAGACAAAGGAATGAGAACCACATGGCGGACTAAATCACTTGTAAGAACTCTTGGAGCCGCCACGAGAAGATTTTCTGCATGTATTGCAAGGCTCTCACAAGGTGAAATGAAAGGTGTGTAGTACCACTGCTGTGTAATGTAATGGACTTCTTCCCCATACCTCCTTTATACGCCACAGCTGTGCCTTCTCGAAATGGTAAACTGACATGGGTAATAGAAAAAATCTTGAAAAATAAACCAGCTCCTTCTGTCATCATTCGCCAAACCACATACATCTCAATGGCTCTGCTAAGGCAAAGGGCAAAAGCGGAAGGATGCAAGTAGAGGGTAAAGCAACTGAAGGAGAAGAAATGGAGCCAGTGTTTCCAAACAGGATTAATGAATGACATTTCCATCTCCAATTTTTTCTGTATGTTTCCTTGACCTGAGTTATTGTAATTGCAGAACAGGACTATGCTACCATTCTTTTTTTTTTTTAAAATAAATTGATGCTTTTATATTATAGTATGTAAAAATAAAGACATTTCCACATCACACACTGTAAAAAATATTTTCATGATTTGTAATCACAACATTTTTTTTTCTTTTGTCAAATCAACTTAGATAATTTATGTGGTTCAGATAACATAATATTTAGAGTTTCTGATGATTAAATCAATCTCCTTCATTGTATTAACTCAATTTTTTCATTTCAATGAACTTTTTAAGGCAACCAGGTTACTTTTTTTAAGTTAAACCAACATTTTTTTTTTACAGTGCAGTTTCCACAAAAATATTAAGCTGCACAAATGTTTTCAACATTGATAATAATATTAATAATAAACGAGCAGCAAATCAGCACATTGGAATGCTTTCTGATGGATCATGTGAGAACGAAGACTGAAGTAATGATACTGAAAATTCAGCTTTGCCATCACAGGAATAAATTACATAAAAATACTTTACATTAAAATGTATTGAAATAGAAATCAGAAAAAAATATTTCACACTATTACTGTTTTTACTGTATTTTAATGGCATAAGTGCAGCCTTGGTGAATATAAGATGTGTGTGCGTGTGTACATGTGTGAATGTCATCTATGTTTGTTGGCGTTCACTGTTCAGATGTATACATATCGTCTCATAAGAAAATTACTGACTACATAAACAAACCTTTTGTTTTATGTGCATTCTGTATTCAGACAAGTCAATTGAAGTCACCTTTATTTATAGCTTTTTACAATGCAGATAAGAATGGAGAAAAAAATCTTGGGAGAAACCAGACTCAGTCGGGGGCCAGTTCTCCTCTGGCCAACAAAGGAACAGTGTGATTCGGGCAGCATTACAAGTCCGATTGTATCGGAACATTTAGATTATTTATCCATTTCCATCTGTTTGGAAGTCGAAGTAATCACGCTGGTATGGAGACAAGTTGTTGAGGATCAGGATCACTTAAGGATGAGTTGGGATGGGTCCAGGCGCAGGTCCACCATAGAGGGTCCCTCGGAATAAACAGAGAAACTAATATTAGCTAAGACGCCATCCTTCTTATGATGGACCAAGTACATCAAGATTTACGGGACATGTTCCTGGTTCCGGCTGATCAAAACTATGCAGCCTAATTTTGAATTAAGAACGTCTATAGTGTGTTATGTGTATGCTAGGCCAAAGAGAGGTGTTTTTAGTCTAGATTTGAACTGAAAGAGTGTGTCTGCTTCCCGGACAATGTTAGGAAGATTGTTCCAGAGTTTTGGTGCTAAATAGGAAAAGGATCGATTTTGATATTCTAGGTATTATCAACAGGCTGGAATTTCAAGATCACAATAGGCATGAAGGACTATAATGCGCTAGCTTGCTTAAAGCCGTTCACATATTATGTATTAGCATGTGCACCCATTATCCAGCAACTCAAATGCAGACTGTAGCTGCAGATTATGGAGTAAAGAAACCTATTTAGTTAATAAGGATCTCCCCTCTCGACAACACCATTCTACTTGATCTGCATTAATTGAGGATAAGAATCTACTAAACCCTCTCTGACCCTCTTAAAAGCTTGCTGAGCAGATTTTAGTATTGTGCTGTGGGCACGCATGGGCTGGTTTTGCTTGTTAACGCCCTCCTGTTCTTGTTTTTAAACTGCTATAGCTGGAAAAAAATGTGAGTTTTTAATATGCTCATAAAAATGTTGATTGTTAAAACATTACATGCAGTTGCTATTATTTTGTAACTATCATTGTTGTCACTACTAGATCTTAAAAGCCCAATATATGTACAGGAAAATAGCAATATATTATGTTTTTATGTTTTCTATGCATGTATCTGTGTATACACTACTGTTCAAAAGTTTGGAATAATGTTTTCTCTTATTTTCTGAAAGTCTGCCTTTTGTTAATCATTAAAAACAGGAATATTGTGAAATATTACTGTTAATTTATTTATTCATTAACTTAATATTGTCATGTTTTTCTTTGTTTTTCACAGTGGTGAGAGTGGAGCAGGGAAGACAGTAGCAGCAAAGTACATCATGAGCTACATCTCCAAAATTTCAGGTGGAGGTCCTAGAGTTCAGGTGGGTTGCACAGAATAAACTAACATTAAACGTTTGCACATGCAAGACACTATCAGGATTAGTTAAGGTGCGATAAAATAGAAAAGAGAAAAACTTCCTGTATCTCGTATTTGATGACTTTACCGAGACTCTTTCTGACATTTAATTTTAGACAGAAAGTTGGGCTCATCTGACATCATTCCTCATTCCTTTTCTTTCATCCCCTAAATCCAACCAGCAGCCATCTGTCCCCCACAATCCCCCTCTGATCTATCCTGTGACCCCCATGTGAGTGAGCTCAGAGTCCGAGGACTGACACTTGTTGATTGCATTAATCTAACTAAATGAACCCTTTGTTGATGAGTGTATGTAGTTCATTCTAAAAGTCTAAGAACCCATAGTGAAAATGCATGTGCACAACATTTTGAGTGAAAATTAACATGACTTTTAATTAGTCTTTTTCGCCTTTTGCTTCAATGACAGCATCACTCCAGCTTCATGAACTCCATATGTTTGTTTTCCAGCATGATTTGAGAATGATCCAACAAGAAACTTGAGCTTAGAACATGTGAACTTCTGTACACTTTATCAGTCACACATTTACTTATTTGATTAGTGACCTATAATGCAGAATCTGAAATATTTCATATTAATGAAGAACTCAAAGACATTATTGTTTCCAACAGATGCATTGAATAGACATCTCAAAAAGTTCTTTTACGAGTCAAAACACTGCAAAAATCATATTCTTTATGAGTACTTTTGTCTACTCATCCAGGTAAAATATCTAAAAATGTGCTCTGAAACATAAGGGTCAGCACCATGCACGATTACTTGCATTGTTTTTTAAAGCCTTATTTTGTTTATCACACTGAATTAACATCTTAGTTTAAATTAAATTTTAAATCTTTTTTAAAAAAAATATTTTCAATGTATACATTTGAGTCCCACTGTACTTTTTTGGGACTAAAAATATCATGAAATGATTCCCTGTGGATTAAATTGAATGATTTGATTGTGAAACAGGCTGTTTCATGTGTTTTGATGGGCATGTTTTTTTTTTGCGTCTTAAACAAAGTAAAGTATTGTAGCATAACAGAAAGCCCCTCTGCTCTGCTGTGCCTTTGTCTGTCTGATCCCTCTGATGTCACAGTGCGACATGATCATATGACCATCACTGTTGTATGGTACATCCTGATTTCTGTGATGTAATACTCATCTCCCTCTTTCTTATTTTTTGTCTCATTTTCCCTCTATTTTCCTGTCTTTTATTTGTATCTATATTTTTTTATTCTTGTGGTCCACACAAGAGGTGGTACCCTTTTCTCTTTGTCTATATGCAAATTATCTACAGTATGTGTGTTTTTCCTGGTATTGCAAATGCAAACATGCTTTCAGCTCTAATTTGTTTACATCAGCTATGTGGCTTTTTTTTTCAAGTTCGTCATTTTATTTTTGGGGTCTGCTAGAATAAAATTACATGATTTAAAAAAAAAAAAAAAAACATTTTTCTCATACTGTATGTTGCTGCTTTTCACAACTCATTCCCTTGCCTTTAAAGCCCACCTTTCTGAAATACCCACTCTGCTCTGATTGGTCAACTGGCCCAGTCTCTTGCGATTGGTCAACTGCTGTTTAGGAAATTTTATGCCCCTTACTATAATTGGGTTCCAGTTCCCAAGGCAACTGTAAACAGTATTATAAATGGTAACTATGGCCTCAGTATTAGAAGTCCATACAATGTATTCTGTCCTTGCCATGAATAAAAACAGCATCTCCTCAACATAGTAAAATCAGTTACCCAACTGTTCTTTTAGGATGGCCAAAGCCAGTATTTGGGAATTATGCAAATGTATAACATGAAAGTCGTTAAAATAATGGCAGGACTACAAACGGGAATTTTTTTGTTGGAGAAATGAACCTCATTTTGGTACACAAAGCATGCACAAAAAGCTTTATTACACACTAAAGGAAAGGTAAAAAAAAAAAAAATAGTTTTCAAATATACATATGGCCTTTAAATATCTTTATGTGGTTTGTGCCCTATATACTGTATGCTTGATAAGGACTTAAAGATGGGACTTCACTGTTTATAACATTAGACGTCTGGAGAAAGAGTCTCCAGAAGTCTTCTATTATAAACAGTGATGGTTTTTGGATATCCCAGAACGTCTGCATCTGTCTGTCTGTCTCTTGGCTGCTGAGTCAAATGGCTCAAACTAGACGACGGTGTGCAAATGCTGTGTGGAATGTGCACATGTACTGATATCAATGTGGATTCAGGCCATTTAAGCAACTTTTTTACATCGAGATGGCCAGTTTTACCTGAATACACCCTACAAACTGGATGTTTCCTCATCTGATCAGTTCTAGATCAGCATAGGTGCTGCTGTTACTGCTGTACTTTATTATCTTCCACAGTGTGCCAAATGTAACTCACAAACCCTCTCTGTTTCCTGTTTTTTTCTGCTCAGCATGTCAAAGACATCATTCTGCAGTCCAACCCTCTTCTGGAGGCCTTCGGGAATGCTAAGACAGTGAGGAACAACAATTCCAGTCGATTTGTAAGCATCATTCATCCTCCCATAGATTTATTTTATTGAAGAGAGCAGACAGCAGACGTGTATCTTGTGCTCTGGATAAATTTGAGAGGAACACAGTTGCACTAAAATCAGCAAAAACTGGGTGATCATCCTGTTTAAATAGAGAAAGAAAGAGAACAATTTTGCTACTGAAATAAGAACATTCGATAAATATCACTGATGTTATCGTAAGGCTTTAACCTAAACGTGGCAAGTACTGCCCTTAAAAATACTCCCAGGCAGTCATTACAAACTACAGTAGTATGTTGTAATGTATAACCCACATTTACTTGCAGTTCTGCTACATTTCTTCCCACACAGGTCTTGTTTTTGGGACTGGTGTAGTTTTGTTTTAAAGAAGAATGAATTAGAAGTAATACTTCTAAGGATTATGTAGCGAATAGGAGTGTTTTTCGGGTGTAAAATCATTTAGATGAGTTCAGGGGCTGGTAATGTCATTACAGCTTTAAGTCTGGGCATGTCTGGTAACTGTGGACAGCACAGCATACATAAATGGTCAGAGAGAGTCACATAAATGAGTAAAGAGTGTTTATGTGTGTGTGTGTGCGGCACCCATTTCCTTTTTTTCTGTTCTGGGCATATGCACATCCACCTGCAGTATATCACGTCTGTGCCTTTTTAACATTCATCTTCACTGACAGGGGAAATACTTTGAGATTCAGTTCAGTTCCGGCGGGGAGCCAGATGGTGGGAAAATCTCCAACTTCCTTTTGGAAAAATCACGCGTGGTGATGAGGAATCCCGGAGAGAGGAGCTTCCACATCTTCTACCAGGTGAGAATGAGGACATGAGGTGGGCTTCTTGCCTCAGAAAATGTCACTGTGAACGTCAGTAGCTAAAGAACACAATGTTATGAGGAAAAATTGAATGAATAACCACAGTAAAATCCAGGAAAGGGAAGATGGAGCCATTTGGCTCTGAAAAGCAGGTCACGTTGTTTTGAGTATACCACTTGAGCTCTTTGGAAGAGGGAGATACTGTCTGATCTCCTCTTAATGAGTCTCCTTGCTGCTGTTTCTTCTATACAAGTTTGAGAGTTTCTTATGGTTGAGTTATTTAGGACTTTTTGTGTTTTGGTGTCTAACACTTTTCACTCTCACTCTTTTGGTTTGACCCCCAGAAATTCAAAAATTCCCAAAACGGTGTAATTTTGTATTGTGTTAAATGGCTTTCTGTAGTGACAATGACAGTGGTGGAAATTACTTGCTGTCTAATTTCATAGCTAGCATTTTATATATATACAATGTTAAATAATATTTCACACAAGTTCAAAAGTTTGAGGCTAGTAAGATTTTTTTTTTAAATGTTTTTGAAAGAAGTGCTCATCAAAACGTTTGTGCTTCTTAATATCTTTGTGGAAACCGTTATATTTTTTCAGGATTATTTGATTAATCGAAAAGTTAATTTATTTTAAATTAAAAACTTTAGTTACATAAAAGTATTAATAAAAGATAAAAGTATTAATAAAAAAACAACATTTTCTGATCCCAAACTTCTGATTGATATTTTGAATTGAAAAAATTGAAACTTGCAAAATTGAAACTTAATATATGTTTCTGTATTGTGTATAATTTTTTGTATATATATAAATGGGACACACAAACACAAAATTTTATTTTAGTTGTGCTTAATCACGATTAATCATTGCACAGCCCTCATTTGTTTTGTTTTTTTGTTTTTTCTTTTCTTATATTTCATCTCAGGAAAGCGTTAGAACATAACACTTCTGAAGTTGAAGAAACACACTTTTATGAAAACTCTGAAATTAATTTTATGTAATAAAATATTTTGATTTCTCTTCATAGCTAATAGAGGGAGCCAGTGGAGACCAGAAAAGCAGTCTAGGCATCACAAACCTGGATTACTATACTTACCTCAACCAGTCAGGTTCCTATAAAGTTGACGACATTAACGACAAGCATGATTTCCAGGAAACCTTGGTAAGTATGATTTAGGCAGCTTGCTATTTTGAGATAGCCTCTTTAGTCCTTGGAGTCTTATTTAGCTGTGAAGATTTTACCTGTTCAAATATGACAACTATTTTCCATATCCCTCTCCCATCTTTTCATATTCCCTCTCCCCTCTCCTCTCTCTGTCTGACCCCAGCATGCCATGGACGTGATTGGCATCTCAGGGATGGACCGCGCCCTGGTACTTCAAATTGTGGCTGGAATTCTTCACCTTGGGAACATCAACTTTAGGGAAGCAGGGAATTACGCTGCTGTAGAAAATGATGAGTGTATGTACCTAGTTTTGCGTCAATCCTTGTTTTTGGTGTCCCCGTTTGAACTATGTACTGCTGGTTTTTTTTTTTTTTTGCTGCATTAGCTCATGCCAAACTGTCTTGCCACACCAAATTAGCGCTCTGTTTATGTGCTTGGTATCTGCATATTGCATCACACGATAAAATTACACACAGTGAAACTATGAACGTCCAGCCCACCCCTCTATTTCCTCTCTCTCTCTCTCTCTTCCCTTCCCTCTTGTGTCTCCAAGCTCTTTCAGGTGGAGCAATGCATTTGAATGACAGAGACTGTTTGCTGTGGCATAAAGCCATGCTGTGCTGGGAGCAGACCAAGTTAATCTGTGCCTTTCCTGTTCCCAGCCCCCCAACCCCTCTTCCTGTCTGCCGCCAGCGGCTTTCACACATTTACTGTTGGTTGGCCAATGTAAAAAGCACACACGGCATAACTGCATAACTTATGACAAAACCATATGTGAAGAGTTATAGATAACATCTTCAAATCCATCGATTATTATGAAGGCCTTTGATTGACATCATGGAAGCTTTGAGAACCTTGAACAGTCCCAGATCTTTTTATAGTTGCGTTGTTTTGGGAGGTCAGTTTTGTGCGCTCTGCTCTAACACACCCATACATCTGAATAATGAGCCATATTTAAGCAGTATGACGAACTGTATCACTATCAGGGCTGGATGAGGGAAGTTTCTTTTTTAAGGAGGTGAGTCAGAGATGAGGTGGGATTACTCAGAATTGGAGTGAGGTTCAGGCCTATAAGTGATTGGTGTCTCACCAGTGCCTAACCTCAGAAGAAATCTATTGTTGTGACTACACAGAAAGAAATGATCATGAGTCATTTTTATGACATGCACCTTTTTGTTACTTTTTTTTTTTGAAAAAGCAAAGTAATGTTATGTTGTGTTGTTATATTTTCAACAGTTTGGGGTCAGTAAGTTAGTGTTTTTTTAATGCAACGGTGCATTAAATTCAGCAATAAATGTTTATAAAATTCTGTCAAATAAATGCTGTTCTTTTGAACTTTTCTTTTAAACAACAAATCATGAGAAAACTATATCAGTTTCCACAAAAATATGAATCAGCAAAACTGTTTTTAAGCATTTTTAAAAGGATCATGGGACACTAAAGCTTGCCATAACACGAATGTAGCTTTTATGACCAAAAAAAAAACATTACAATATCTTACTGACCCCAAACTTTTGAACAGTAGCGTATAACACTCATGTAAGCCTTACTGTGCAAATATGTATAATTATATATAACATTCTAACTCTACCAAACTGTTCTCTATCCTTCTCATAGTTTTGGCATTTCCTGCCTTCCTGTTGGGCATCGATCAGCATCGTCTTAAAGAAAAACTCACCAGCCGTAAGATGGACGGCAAGTGGGGGGGCAAGTCAGAGTCCATAGACGTAACGCTGAATGTGGAGCAGGCGTGTTTCACACGCGATGCCCTCTCCAAAGCTCTGCACTCTCGTGTTTTTGACTACTTGGTTGAGGTACAGGCAATATGCACCCACATTCCTTTTTTCAAAAATAGAAGTTACAGAGGAAATAAGCTCTGAATAGGTTCCTGTTTTTCTTTAGTCAATCAATAAAGCCATGGTTAAGGACCATCAGGAGCTGAACATTGGAGTATTGGATATCTATGGCTTTGAGATTTTTCAAGTGAGTGTTTTTAAATATTTTTTTCTAGTCACTCATTGAATTTGTTGCTATCCAGTCTACCTAATGAGATGAGATGTAATGTGGGATGAAATTGGATTGGTCTGGATTGGTTCCCCTCTCTTTTTGAGCTCTTTTTGAACATATTAACGAGCTTGACTAATCTGATAATCTCTTGATTTAGCATCTGGTATTGAGACCGTTAAGATTACTACCTGTGTTGCCTTCATAAGAAGGATAAAGCTAGATAACAGGGCTTTCAACCCTTTTAATTTGATCCTGTGCTGCTCCAATTCCAGTTAACCACTAAAATTCTGAATTCTTGAGCAGCGACTGTGTATTTTTAAGTGCTATTGATAATGATAATGTTGAATCGTTGTTTGTGATATTTACATCTCATTTGTTTTCATTTGACTACTGGTATTATTTTGGGGTCATGGTTATCTATCTGTCTCTTGTGTTTTCATTCGCTCTTTTAGAAAAATGGATTTGAGCAGTTCTGCATCAACTTTGTGAATGAAAAGCTGCAGCAGATTTTCATTGAGCTGACTCTGAAAGCTGAGCAGGTAACACTTCATTAGTCCCCTGTGCTTTTATTGTTGTTGCAGTGTGGATCTTGAAGACTCTTGTCATTTTAAGTCACACCTTTTTCCTTAACCTTGTTTTGGCAGCACAGGAAATACTTCTGCTCCACCCTAGTATAGGGCCATTTTCATCGTTTTTCTTTTCTTTTCTGTCTTTTTCCTCTCTTCAGGAGGAGTATGTACAGGAAGGAATCCGATGGACTCCCATAGAGTACTTCAACAATAAGATCGTCTGTGACCTCATTGAGAGTAAAATAGTACGTTTCGCCAACTGTATAATTCAAGCATTCATCTATTTCAAAAGCTGGATATTATCTGCCCTTGCCAAGTGCAGTTAAATCAATAAAACTAACATTAACACACTAAGAAGTTCTCTTCCCATGACTGTTTGTCTAATGGCCTCAAAATGGTTGATATGCCTCCAAATTCAATTTGCTCCACTCTGAGAGAGACTAGACACAAAGAGCCATGAAATTCACTACAAGGGAGACCTTAACCATGCATGTCTGTATGACAGCATGTGAGAAAGTGCTTCTCTGTGTCACTGCTAAAAGCTAATGCTTGTCTGTGAGAAATTTACAAGCTGTGTTTTCCCTTTTTTGGACTCTGTGTGGATAGAGAGATGTCTAAATTTTCTGACAGGTGGGATTTCACTAAAGATTAATGCATGACAATAGTTTTGATTAAGCTTGAAAGGTCTGTGCATGTGGACTAAAACTGTGTCACTTTAGACATGAATGTTTGCATATTTAAATCTTTGTGTAATGTGGAGTCTAACATCCTGCAATGCAACATGCTAAACATTATCTAAAACTATACTACTACTAAATGGTAAATGGACTGCATTTATATAGCACTTTCAATAGACCTATGGCTATTGATATGTTGGCTCTGGTTGCTTGTTATCAAGGTTGCATAACAATCAACAAGAGTCTAAATGAAACCCTAACAAAACTAAATACAATGACTAATAGGAGCCTGTCTCAAAATGATTATGAATGTATTTCACAATATAAATGTCATTATCATTTATTTGTGTCCTTTCCCAGAATCCTCCTGGCATCATGAGTATACTGGACGATGTATGTGCTACTATGCATGCGAAGGGTGAAGGCGCAGATCAGACAATGCTGCAGAAACTCAGAATGCAAATCAACAACCACGAGCACTTTAACAGCTGGAACCAGGGCTTTATCATCCACCATTACGCTGGCAAGGTATTTATACCTCTTTCTTTCTGCAACATCTCTTTATCCCTCTTCTGTAGTCTTGTTATATGTTTTACTTTCTACTTCTACTCTTTTGTCTGTGTTTCTAAATTGCATTGTCTCTTGCTGTTTCTTTCCTTCCACCTCTCTCTTAGTTTCTTGTATACTCTTTGTTGGCTTGGGGTAGTTCAGTATGTGTGGTACCTTCCACATACCCTGTGTTCAATGAGGCGTGCTCTGAGGGGAGGCCCGCCCACATCCTGCACCATTAGATTTATAATACAATAAATCTGATGTTGTAAAATATAAGTACATTCTACAGTCAATAGAAATCTCATGATAAAAAAAAAAAAATATATATATATATATACACACACACACATGCATGTATATATTTATATATTTAAAAAAGTGTCATTCATATCTAAAATACTTATATTTATATACAATATAGATTATGTATTTATATATATATATATATATATATATATATATATATATTAGGGCTGTGCAAAAATTTATTGCGATTAATCGAAAATAAAATAAAAGTCTGAAAAAAAAGCATCCAAAATAAAAGTCTGTGTTTACAAATAATTCTTAAATATATACATGCATGCATAGGTATTTATATATACAAAATAATTATATACAGCACACACAAATATATTATGTAAACACAGACTTTTATTTTGGATGCGATTAATCACAATTAACTTTTGCACAGCCCTAATATATATACAGTATTTACGTGCAAATAATTCTTAATTATATACATACATGCATATGTATTTATGTATACAAAATAATTATACACAGCACACACACATATTTTATGTAAACACAAACTTTTATTTTGGATGCGATTAATCGCAATTAATCTTTACACAGCCCTAATATATGTGTGTGTGTATGTGTATATATATATATATATATATATATATATATATATATATATATATTCTAGTTACCCAGTTGTATATGCAACTAAGTAAGTCATTGATGATAGGTTGAATTTGATCTGAACATTTATTGGCTCAATGTGGCTCAATGTTTTTTTTTTTTTTTCTAACCCTGTTCAAAACACACAACTGATTTAATGCTCTGTTATTTGTCCCCTCTCCCCCCACATCCAGGTATCTTATGATGCAGAGGGTTTCTGTGAGAGAAACAGGGATGTGCTGTTCACTGATCTGATTGAGTTAATGCAGAGCAGTGAAATGTAAGTGTCAATCCACCATCCACCCTGTCTCGAATCATTCAACAGCTGTTTGTAATAAACTTTGTGAAGCTTTCTGGGGTCCAGTTTTAGACACCATTCAGACACGTACTGTCATGCATATATACACACCACACACACATGCAGAGTTTGCAGAGGAACTTCCTTTGCACCAGCCACTAGGTCTTATGCACAAAATAGAAGAAAGAGAGATCTTAATTTGCAATTCAGTGACGAAGCAGGGCTTCCTGTCCATCTGCGCAGACATGGCCCTGCAGATCCATACCCCTTAAGACATTAGAGCAAAGCAAGACAAGCTGTTAACTTCATATAACTATGTGGATTTTCTGGTATTAGAATGTGCTCGCAGTGGAGCTCTATCGACTACATTTTGTGGCATGCCTGGTTGGCTGATAATAATCTCTTGTTATAAAATCTCTTTCTTAATCTCTTAGCAAAAGTTTGTTTATTATAGTGCTTTCAAATGATGTCTATGGGGCAGGACATCGCACTGAAATGTTAAAATACATGCTACATTTTGAAAGTATAGCAACAAGACTTATGTAATAAGACATATGTTTTTATAGCCTATAGCTTTCACATAATACACACAAAAATACCAGAAAGAGATTGTTTGCATTAAGAAAAATCCACCCACAGGTATAAAAAGGATGATTTAATGCCCACTCACACAGGATGTGTTTTCGTGTTTAAAACGCAAGATATCTTCCTTTAGCTTTAAAAGTTAAAGAACTTTAAAAGAACATAAAAGTGCCGCATATTACAAAGCTGTGTCATGCGCAAGATGCTGCCAATGACACAAACATTTTCAATTGTCAAACATGTCCGTCTAGTGCATGTTTGCATAAAAAAAATAATATTAATAAATATAGCTTCAAGCTAACTTTAAAAACATCTTTTTTAATTGCTTTTTTATAATATAACTATTTATTTGCCATGAAGATAGACAAAGAATCTGGCATCCAACCAATCTATAAGCTTAGTAAAAAGCTTATTCAGGAGGCAGTGAGACTAAAGGATAGTGAACACCAGAGATGAAAAGCCACAAATATTTAAACTCTTACCCTGTCCCTAATGATGAACTCCAAAACAACCTGTTCTGCAGAGGAGAGACACGATTAAAACATTCCTGTATTTCTTTTATCCTGTATTCACTTTTCAAATAATTCCTATCTGTCTTGATTCTTTTCGTTAGACCTTTCATCCGTGCCCTGTTCTCAGAAAACCTCAATGCTGAGAAAAAAGGTAGACCCACTACTGCAGGCAGTAAAATCAAGGTGAGTTGAGACTATTCTGCAGGCTCTCTGCAGGTTCTCTGTTTCACCTCATAAAATTAAACCATTTTCACACTTTCTGGTTGCCTGACTGTCTGTGTAGATTAAGTGGTTTGCAGGTTTAATGGTGTTTTCTTGTAAGCTGCCTTAGCATTTTACACCCTTTCTGTTTCTTTCTAATGGCAGAAACAAGCCAATGATCTGGTGGGCACTCTGATGAAGTGTACACCTCACTATATCCGCTGTATCAAACCCAATGAGACCAAGAAGCCTAAAGACTGGGAAGAGAGCAGGTAAGAGATTATGGTCAAGTTGAATTCACATTCATTCAAAAGTCTTTTTAAATTTTTGTCAGTGCTATGTTACAATTATATAGGAAACTGATATTATAATGGAAATAGTTGAGATTTCTTTTTAAATTATTATATTCTCTTAAAGTGGGCAAAATTAATTATAACTATCTTGTGGCCTCAAGATAGTAACTCATGGCTTCAAGATAGTAACTTGTGGCCTCAAGATAGTAACTCATGGTTTCAAGATAGTAACTTGTGGCCTCAAGATAGTAACTCATGGCTTCAAGATAGTAACTTGTGGCCTTAAGATAGTAATTCGTGGCTTCAAGATAGTAACCTGTGGCCTCTAGATAGTGACTCGTGGCCTCAAGATAGTAACTCGTGGCTTCAAAATAGTAACTTGTGGCCTCAAGATAGTAACTCATGGCTTCAAGATAGTAACTTGTGGCCTTAAGATAGTAATTCGTGGCTTCAAGATAGTAACCTGTGGCCTCTAGATAGTGACTCGTGGCCTCAAGATAGTAACTCGTGGCTTCAAGATAGTAACTTGTGGCCTCAAGATAGTAACTCATGGCTTCAAGATAGTAACTTGTGGCCTCAAGATAGTAACTCGTGGCTTCAAGATAGTAACTTGTGGCCTCAAGATAGTAACTCGTGGCTTCAAGATAGTAACTTGTGGCCTCAAGATAGTAACTCATGGCTTCAAGATAGTAACTTGTGGCCTTAAGATAGTAATTCGTGGCTTCAAGATAGTAACCTGTGGCCTCTAGATAGTGACTCGTGGCCTCAAGATAGTAACTCGTGGCTTCAAGATAGTAACTTGTGGCCTCAAGATAGTAACTCATGGCTTCAAGATAGTAACTTGTGGCCTCAAGATAGTAACTCATGGCTTCAAGATAGTAACTTGTGGCCTCAAGATAGTAACTCGTGGCTTCAAGATAGTAACTTGTGGCCTCAAGATAGTAACTCGTGGCTTCAAGATAGTAACTTGTGGCCTCAAGATAGTAACTCATGGCTTCAAGATAGTAACTTGTGGCCTTAAGATAGTAATTCGTGGCTTCAAGATAGTAACCTGTGGCCTCTAGATAGTGACTCGTGGCCTCAAGATAGTAACTCGTGGCTTCAAAATAGTAACTTGTGGCCTCAAGATAGTAACTCATGGCTTCAAGATAGTAACTTGTGGCCTTAAGATAGTAATTCGTGGCTTCAAGATAGTAACCTGTGGCCTCTAGATAGTGACTCGTGGCCTCAAGATAGTAACTTGTGGCCGCGTAATATTCAGCATCATTACTCCAGTCTTCAGTGTCACATCATCCTTCACAAATCATTCTAATATCCTGATTTGCTGTTCAAGAAACATTTCTTATCAGTTTTGATATTTATTTGATATTTAAAACGAAATCTTTTGTAACATTGTAAATGTCGCTTTTGATCAATTTAATGCATCCTTGATAAATAAAGGTATAAAAAATCTTACTGACCCCAAACTTTAAACTGCAGTGTAAAATGGGAAACTAAGTAGCAACATGGATTCAAATTTTATTTCTCAGCATGGTTGTTCTTTGTCCCGACAGTTCTTTCATCTGTTTATTTGTTCAATTTTCTTGGCCATTTCGTCTTTCACCATAGTTTTTTTTTTTTTTTTTTTGGAATGAAATGTGGAATGAAATGTTCTGATCCAGCGTGTTGGATTGTTCAGGCTCTAATGGTCTTCCTGTTATGAGCGTTTGTGAGCATTGTTCATGTTGGACACAATGGGCAGTATAATTAGCACCCACACTTCATTCGCAGGATGTGTATGTATGAAATTTGCAATTATACAGACAATTATTTAGGAAAGGCTGATGGGGAAACCACCAGAAATGCCTTTTTGTCTATGAAATTGTAAAAAACTGAGATTAATGTCTGTAAAGGGTTTTTTTTCTGTTGCTGTAAATATTAACCTTCCTTCCTCTCCATCTTTCTCTCTCTCTCTCTCTCTCTCTCTCTCTCTCCCTAGAGTGAAGCACCAGGTGGAGTATCTGGGTCTGAAAGAGAATATTAGAGTAAGGCGTGCTGGCTATGCTTACAGACGAGTCTTCCGCAAGTTCTTGAACCGGTAAAGACTGATTTCAAAGTCCTCTTTAAAGCCCGACATCATGGAGAACATTTCTGGTGTTACAATTTTGAGATCCAATGACAAGACACCATATTTTCACAAGAATTTCACAAAGAGAAGGAAGATTGTAGTGCATTATAGTACTTTTATGTTGATGAATTTTGGTTCCTCTTCTGTTATGATCCAGTAGTTGGACAGTTTCCTCTAATCATTGTGTTGGTTTAATGGTCTAATTCCATTATGATCAATTACTTCACATGCTTGGTTATTATCGTTATCGCATTTGGTTATTAACTTTTCACACAAAGTAAAACTGAATTTTTTTTTGATGTGTTAATATTTATCCAAGTGTTTATCTTGCACACACAGACTGCCTACAGTATTATATTTACAAAGGGCTTCACTTCAGAAGACAACTGAGCATTTTGTACTTTTATATGAATGAAAAATAGGCCTATGTAGTTTAATAAAATATGATTTAATTCTCCAATTGATGAAGAATGAATTCCGCATCTTCTCTCTCTGTTTCTGTGTCTCAGGTATGCTATTCTGACGAAGGAGTCGTGGCCAACATGGCGGGGGGATGAGAAGCAGGGTGTGCTGCATCTCCTGCGCTCCGTAAACATGGACCAAGACCAGTATCAGCTCGGACACACCAAAATCTTCATCAAAGCCCCTGAATCGGTAAGTTCAATTTTTCAGCAACAGGATATGATATCATGTCCCATGCAGGGAGTCTGTTTTTAATCAACAAAAAGCTATCCTAACAACTTGGAATACATTTATAATGTCAAAATGCATGTCTACTCCACTTTGAAAAGTCAGTATTTCGCATTATACGTGTTATTCACAACACAAAGTCTAATTTGGCCATACCTTAAGTTTGAGAGCCAAAAACCAAACATTTGTTTTGCTTGAACAGTGTGCTTGTGCCATCTTTCTTTAAAATACACTACCGTTCAAAAGTTTGGGGTCAGAGCACTTTGTAAATGCTACTTTCTTGATAACACAATGGCACTGATAATGTTTAAATGTTGCTTTAGTATCCTTATACTTTTGGATTGTTCTACAATATGAACACTTCAGACACATCAGACTAGATACACCAACACAAGCCCCTATCAGCAGCATGTTGAACATAGTTTTTACTTCGGTCAAGATTTAACATTTGAGTTGTGCTGTAATGGCAGAAGAGCGGTGAAGTGTAAGAGTCAGCCTTTGTCCGGCAGACATCAGCTCAGCTCAGAGTGGGTTGATGAATAGTGGGCAGTCAGTAGGGAAGGAGGAGGGACACTGGGCTGGTCCCACGTCAGCACCGTTAGGTCAACATTACTCTGGATCTGATGCACACAGTGCTGTGGTAAAGCTGCTTCTGTTATGTCCAAGACAGCTTTGCTTTTTCCACTACGTGTTTTTTTTTTCAGCTTGCTTATGAAAGCACTGCTTGTGGATGTGCTGTGATCTCACTGTTGACATTTAGATGTACACACGTATACATAGAGACACAGTATAAGGCTCTGTGGCTCGGCATGAATGCACCAGATTATCCAGAGATGTGTGACTTTGGCATGTATGTGTTAAAACGTGGCCTTTTCTGTGTGTGTGTGTGTATATGTGTATGTGTGTGTTTGTGTAATATAAAATGTAGGAGGGCTCCAATATGAACTGCACTGCCTCTCAAAACAAAACTGAGATAAGGTGCTGATACTGAGTAATTAGTTCATGACTACAGGAATTTCTTTAGTGAGAGATGGTGTGTGAGTGTGTAGTTGTATTCACTCTTTTTTCCTACTGAGAGCTGATGAAGTATTACGGTGTTTGCATTAGGCATCCAAACAGTGTGATTTATTTCACAAACACTGTTAAGAAATGTCCAAAACCTATTTTACCACAAAATTAAAAGGGGTCATTTAAAAAAAATTGACCGTATTGACCCCAAATTGTGCAGGTCCGGCTATTGTAAGTACTTAATTGTAAGTAGGGATGCATATATATATGAAGAGTTCAGATGCAAAAACCTCTAAGTGCCATTTGAAATTTTCTTCTAGAATGATCATTTTTATCAAGCTTGTATATTTAAGTTCAGTAATTTCACTTAAATGGCAATGATAATTACCTATTAATTGTTATTTAAGTGAAATTACTGAACTTAAATATACAAGTTTGACAAAAATCATCATTAAAGAAGAAAATTTCAAATGGCATTTAGAGGCTTTTGCATCTGAACTCTTCATATATATATATATATATATACAGTATACTGTATATATATATATAAAATTTATCTTGCCATTTTGTTATTGCCATTTATCAGTTAATGGCAATAACATGAAAATAATTATCAATGGTAGGTTTGTGTGTGTTTGTTTGTTAGTGTGTGACATGGAAGACAAAGAGGGATTGTGTATTTGCTTCAAATATCTCGTCCTGTGCCAGCCGCGTGTGTGTGTGTCTGTGTGTGTGTGTGTGTGTGTGTGTGTGTGTGTTTGAGGCAGTGCCAGGCCTCTGTGATAATGATAGGATCTGTTTAGTCTACAGCACAGCAGAGCTGTTACTGTGTGTTCTGAGATACAGGAAGCACAGTGGAGCTACACAGTGCTCAAAGCAGTATGGGATGACTGTAAAACAGTTGGGCACAGCTGCCTACTGAAATAGAAAATCTGAAATAGAAAAAGAGAAGTTGCTCTTGCTCCACTATGTGTTATAATGGGCCTTGTCTTTCCAGAACTGTTTAATAAGTTCCAATGACAAGTGACCGTACTATCTTGAGACAAGTGTAATGTCAGCTCTATTTACTAATGTTATTTGCACTGTTAAATGTTAAGTGGGCAACAGTGCATGGATTTAGTGCACTTTTTAAAATACTGATTCAAGTGGATATGTTGTGAGTTTGTGAATATTTTTATTTGATTCATGTTAACAACCTGCATTATATTCTATTTACAGCTGTTCCTGTTGGAGGAGACGAGAGATCGCAAGTTCGACGGTTATGCCAGAACCATTCAGACGGCCTGGAGGAAATTTTGTGCACGCAAGAAATACGTTCAAATGAGGGAGGAGGGTGAGTTTAACATTCAGACAAATAGTTGGAATAAGTTTAAAGTGCTTGATGTCATGTTCAAGCACCACCGTACAAAGGCATAATAAGAAAAGGGAAATCAATGTTGTTTTACATGGCAGAATGTGTCACAGTTTGGGTTTTCCCCTGTATATCTTTGGAGTCTGACCTCAACTGCTGCTTTCAGCTAAATTATTGTTATTATGTGAAAAGTAATAATAGATACACACACAAAGAAAACACAAAAACCTCACACCCGGCCTGTCTGAGTGTTCATGTTTGGGTGTTTCTTTAGCTTATAGGCTCTTATAGCCTAGTTTTACTATAAAAATTCTACTAAAACACTTTTTCCACTCTCACTGGTATTTAGTTGAGCTATTAACAGTGTCCAATTATGGACATACACTATTTTTCAAAAGTTTGTTGTTAGTAAGAGTTTTTGAAAGAAATCAATACTTTTGCTCAGGAAGGATGCATTAAATTGAAGTAGCAGTAAAGACTTTTATAACGTTACAAAAAAAAAATGCAGTTTTTTTGTTGTATATTCATAAAATAATTCTGAATATAATGTATCAAGGTTTACACAAAATATAACAACTGTTTTCAACATTAATAATAATAAGAAATGTTTCTTGTGCAGTCGATATCATCACAGGAATAAATTTAATTTTAAAATAAAATTACACTAGGGTAGAGTCATTCTAAATTGTTAAAATATTTCACAATATCACTGTTTTTACTGTATTTTAATCAAATAAATGCTGCATTGACGAGCATAAAATACTTCTTTCAAAAACATTTAAAAAAATCTTTGCAAACCCAAAGTTTTGAATGGACATGAAGTCAATCAGAATTTTGTAATTTTTTTTCCCCTGAAACATCTTTTTTTGTTACAAATATAATTTCAACCACATATCCAATTTTAAAAATGTTTGCAATAAAATGGCTTACTCATTTTTCCCTGTGAATTTTATTGCTAGCATTTTTATATATTCTAAACACACAATTAAATATTGTATTTTTTTTTTTTTTATAATTTTACAAAATTATAGCTTTATTGTTAATGATACTCAAAAAATCCGTTCACATATGAAATTTACTTTAATTGGTCCTGTTTCCTTTACACATCACATCTATCTTTTGGACATGGTGGGACATGGCACAAGAACTAAAGCTCTTTGAGTATAACACTGAAGATTTATTCTATCTTCTTCCAGCCTCTGATCTGCTGCTGAACAGGAAGGAGAGAAGAAGGCACAGCTTGAACAGGAACTTTGTGGGTGATTACCTGGGTATGGATGACCGGCCTGAGCTCAGGCAGTTTGTGGGCAAGAGGGAGAAGATTGATTTTGCAGACAAAGTCAATAAATTTGATAGGCGGTTTAAGGTGAGCATACCAAAATTAGCTCACAGATGTGCCTTAGTATCAATGACTATTTTTAGCACATGACATGTAGCATTTATATGTATGTATGTATGGGTGTTTTAATCTGTTCAGAGCATCAAGAGAGACCTGATCCTCACCCCTAGATCTGTCTACCTGATTGGAAGAGAAAAGGTGAAGCAGGGGGCAGAGAAAGGGCTTGTGAAAGAAGTCCTAAAACGCAAAATTGACGTAGAGAAGATTTTGGCTGTTTCATTCAGGTACATCACCACACAAGCTACAACCAACCTTAGCACTCTAGGTGATCATACACACACACACAAGAATTACTCTATTCAGCCACAAGGAGCCAAAAGAGCTGCAACTTCCCTCCCATAATGGCTTGAATAACCATCTGCTGAATTATAGGTGTAGAGACATCAAAGGTCCAGTCTAGATGTTAGAGCCTTCGTCTGCCCTGTGTTACTTAACACATGTTGAATCCAGAGGGTCTGGATATACAAAGCTTCAGTCTTTTAAAAAAACATTTATAGTTTTTTTTAGTGTTCCCTTGAAATGATCAAACATTCAGAACTCTCTCAAAGAAACCTAAAGATCTTACAAATAATGGCCAAGAAAGCCTTACCAGCAGCACCCCGCAACCTTGCATACTTTGCTTTTGTGAGTGGGGGGTTGTACATAATGTGAACCAGGTGTTGCTGGGAAGGGAGAGTATACCTTGTAAAAAAGTCATTAGAAAAGACTTAAGTTTATTGGGTGAAGCAGGGCATCTCTGCATGTGTCCCAGACACGAAAACTCCCAACAGCCCCCGTATCACTTGCATTTTTTTTGTGACCCGACAACCTTTGTGTCTTTGGAAACCCCTAAAAGTGCCTCAACACATGTTTTACCTGAACTGAAAGCCTGTGCTCATGTTGAATGATCGAACAAATGTGGATATTTCAGGTCTTGAAAAGACATTTGTTTCACCTACAGCACAATGCAGGATGACTTCATGATCCTGCACGAGGACGAGTATGACAGCCTGCTGGAGTGTGTATTCAAGACTGAGTTCATCAGTTTACTGGCACGCAGATACGAAGAGAGAACGCAAAAGAAACTACCTCTCAAATTTAGCACCACGTAAGTTGAACTATCTTTCTCATGGCATAGCAAAGGCATGACTTTTCAATGAATACAAATTAAACAGAATAATGAAGTAGATTATTTTTTTTTAGTATCTGTATTTAAGTGCCCATACTGTTTTAATATTGAACAGTGTGTCTGTTGTTTTTATAATTTATTTTATAATTTCATTTAATTTATTTGGTCAACATTTGTTAAAGAATTTGGGGTCAGGAAGATTTGTTTTTATGTTTCTGTAAGAACCCTCTTACGCTCACCAAGACTATTATTATTTGATCAAAAATACTGTAAAAACATTATTAATAGTTTAATTATTTACATCTACAATTTTAAACAATTTTAAATATATATTTTTATTATATATATTTAAAATATATTTCTAAATAATTTTAAATATATATTTTTTATTTTAAAATTTAATTTATTCCTGTGATAGCAAAGTTGATTTTTTCCCCCCCAGAAATCATTCTAATATGATGATTTGATGCTCAAGAAAAATTTATTATTACTATTATTCATGTTTTTGTGAAACATTTTATACTTTTTGTGTGATTCTTTGATGAATAGAACGTTTACTTATTTGAAACAGAAATCTTTTGCAACATTATTAGAATCACTTTTGTCTTTTTGACAATTTTTTTTTGTCACTTAATAAAAGTACTAATTTCTTGCAAAATATCTTACGGTCCTCAAACATTTGAATGGTAATGTACATATACCTAACAAATTTTTTTGTGTGAAATTATTTGTTATTATGTTTCAGTTGTCTTTATATTTTATTATATTGTTATATTTTCAAATAAATATTTTTTATATACAGTATATTTTTTAATAAATGGCATTTGCTTTTTATGGTCTAATGCACGCCATGACATCCAAGCTTTTTATCCAGTTATGTTTTGCGGCCACTGTATGTTAATGATTGACCGTGATTTGGACCTGCAGGCTAGAAATGAAACTGAAGAAAGATGGATGGGGACCCTGGAATGCTGGAGGATCCAGACAGGTTCAGTTCATCCAAGGTCAAGGGGACGTAGCAGTGCTACGACCCTCAAACAAAATGCTGCAGGTCAGCATTGGACCGGGTTTGTCCAAAAACTCACGTGAGTGATGATGACTCGTATTGTGTTTTATTCACAATATCATTTAATATTATTTAATATTAAATTATTTGTTATCCATGCAAGATCTCATACACACAAATTCAACCCTCATTCAGGTCCTACTAAGCAGGGCGTCACTCAAAGCGGCCCCAAAACGTCCAGGACACACCACCACATCCCAGCACGAGTCGCACCTGGCCCTCCAGGTACCTTTTCCCGTTCAACTAGTACTATTATCGACTATCCTAATCTTCCATTTGTTTTAGTCAGTAAGCATGTGTGTTTCCCGGCAGTTGCTCACCAAAATGGAGGGCTGAAGAATGCAAATCACACTGCCAATCAGAGGAACTCGCAACATCACAGCAATCAGAAGCCGACATCAGGAAACACGGCCCGTCCATTCCTGCCTTCTAATGTCAATCAGCTCAAGGACAGAGGCAGCAGACAGACACCCCAGCAACCCAACTTGGATTTCCTCAAAGTACCAGACCAAGGGGCTGCAGGGTGAGTGGACATACATTTCAAAATATATGGCTAACAACTATCTCATTACTGAAGATGGTTAACATTATCTAATTGTTAGATGCATAGCTGAAGCTCTTCTACCAGACATTATCCATGCAAACAAAACAGTGAGCTATGTTTGAATGTAACATGCATGTATCTCTTTACTGTAGCAGAAATCATCAACCATCTGGCAATGGAGGAATGTGAGTCTGAGCATGTGTGTAGTTTCTGTTAGGTGGCAGTGGTTGTGGTTCATTTGACTAGTGATAGATCAAAACCAGAGATGCCCAACCAGAAAATCCACCCTTGCATTCTTTCTCATTCTTATTTTGGATTTCTGGTTCCTTACAATAAACTATCATATTTTATTGATTGAAATTTGATTTACAATACTGTTCAAAAGTTTGAAATTGGTAAGACTTTGGTAAGAAGCCACTTATGTTAACCAAGGCTGCTTTTATTTGATCAAACATGCAGTACAATATTGTGAAATATTACTACACTTTTCTGTTTTTAAAAGTATTTAATTTCTGCAATGGCAAAGCTGAAGAAACATTTCTTCTTATTAATAATGCTGAAATAAATTATATTTTTTGTGGAAATCCTGCGAAAAGAACAGGATATTTGAAATAGAATTGCTTTGTAACATTGTAAGAGTATTTAATGTAACTTTTGACGAATTTAATGCATCCTTTCTTAATAAAATGATTCATTTGTTGTTTAAAAGTACTAAGGCCAATTCACACCACACAAACAAACAAGCTGGCCATTGGATTTAGACTTTTATGAAAAATAACTGTCATGTTCACACTGCCCATACAGACACCAACAAACGCTGATTGAACACATTCAGTCGGGTGAAAACAAACCCCGACCAACTCCGACAGGGAAACACACTGATCCGACAAAACCCAACAAACATGTTTGTTGGCATTTATCCGTGTGGTGTGAATTGTCCTTTAAATCTGACAGACCCCAAACTTTTGAACAATACTGCATTACCGAATCAGATTGTGAATAGCTAGTCATATGGAAGAGGATTTTCTTTCTTCTTTAACTTCAGCAAGGTTAAGGACTCTGGATTGGGCATTTTCTAAAAAATTCTCCTTTGTAGTCATGATGAGGATCGACTCAGACACATCATGAAGACTGAAGGGCCAACAAATGTCCCTTTGTTGCAACAACTGAAAAAAAAAAATATAAATATATATATATATATATATATATATATATATATATATTCTGAGGTGGAGGATCAACTGAATGAAGTCTGTTTGGGAAATGTAGACTAGTCCAGAGTCAGACTGACAGTGCCACAATGCATAAATGTGAATCTGTCGCCACCTAGTTGGGAACACATGAACTAACACCACAAAATCAGACAGCTAACCCTCTCACTGCAGCTATCTGGTACTTCAAGATCCTAGTTGACTTCACACTTACCTTCACTTGTAGAAGCATGTTCCCATGGTTGCTGCAATGTTAAAAACGTCACCTGTAATTCCATCGGTTAATGTCCTCTGTGTTTTTTCCCAAGGGCCCACAGACAGTCCACCAACAGGCCTTCTCCAGGAGGTGGTCGGCCCAAACCGGCCCCCAAGCCAAAGCCCCAAGTGCCTCAATGTAAAGCCCTCTATGCATACGATGCCCAAGACACAGATGAGCTCAGTTTCAATGCAGATGACATCATTGACATCATTAAGGAAGGTGAGAGCGTATTTCGCAAATGCTTATTTATGAAAATGAAAAGGTTTCATGAATATTGGTGGCATTTTGCATATAGGGCCTCTCTGAATCTTTTTTTAAAGATACGTTGTGGTTCTTGTTTTTTTTAGTGGCAGAATGTTGTCATTTTGGTATTTTTGCTTTATTTATTTGTCTAGACGCCTCTGGATGGTGGACAGGGAGACTGAGAGGTAAACAAGGTCTTTTCCCAAACAACTATGTGACAAAGATCTAACCTCTTCTGCTGTTGATGAGGCGACCAGAACCTCAGCAGACTTGTTCGAAGAAGGATAAGGACAAAGAAAGGAGGGGAAATGGAGATAATGAAGGAACGAGCGAAGTGTGCTGTGGCTGAACTCCTCATAAGCTTTGCGTTGTGTTGCCACAGACATTTTGAGGCCATGCGGGCAGACGCCGACCGGACATGAAAGTTTTCTCCAGGGCGCTGAATACTGAGCTCTCCCTGTGAGCACTGATCAAAACTATTTATTGTATTTATATTACGGCATTCTACAGTTTATTTCTGATGTGGTTTGTTCATCTTTCATTGACATTTAAGGTGATCTGAATTCACTTAGAGATGAAGTAGCCATTTTATGTGGGAACAGGCTTTTTTATTTTGCTTTGAAATGGATAGATTTTATATGTAAATTAAGGGGCTTGGCTTTAGAGTCACCTGCTGTTTGTGATTTATATTTTTTTTTCCAATCTCTTGAAGTCATGTCCAAATCAATGGTTTTAGTGGGAAATTTTTTGCTGCTAAGGAACGTTTTACCATGATATTGCAGTTAAGAGAAACCCAAATGTTTAAAGTGCACTACAGCTCTTGAAAACCATGGATTGTACTTTGCTTTTGATGTTACGTTCATAATCTTATAACAATGCTGAATGTATCATTGTTCTAAAGATTCCAACAGTTTAAATTTAAACTGTAGTGGTGTTTCCATGCATTATTTGGAAAACCCACACTCGCCATGTCACTGTATAGATAAAAAGCACTTTATGAGTACAATATCATATAAATGTACTGGTCAGGTCATCGACACCATTCGTCAAGGTGCTAGTAGTCAGTGAAGAGATGAAATAGGGGCTGGATCTACAAAAATTTCTTAAAGGGATAGTTTGCACAAAAATTAAAATTGTTCCAAACCTGTATGAATACATTCTTAGATGAACACAAAATATGTTTTGAAGAATGTCAGTAACCAGTTAATTGGCCCCATTGACTTCCATTCTATGCAAGTCCACTTCTCAAGATAAATTCTTAGATGTAAGAATGTACCAAACAGTTCCCATATATTTTACTAAGAACATCTTAGTTTTTTTCTTAAGAATAAAGTGACAGATATTGGTGTTTGGTGTCTGTGTACTATCCTACTGATGCAACAAATTTTACATTACATTCAGAAAATTAGTTCAGACAAATCATGTTATTTCTATCTAGAACTTTATTTGTAGGATACCTTTATTTACATTGACAAACATTTTCAAGAATGAGTGTTATGTTTAACAAAAGTATTGGGGACATACAATATAAAATTTTTGTAAAAAAAAAAAAAAAAAAAAAAAAGTAATGTGTCAACACATCCCATGTAAATTGAAAGCAAATATTTAATCTATTTTAAAATACACATTCACAGTGAGTTTGATGGAACTGTTAAGCAAGAGGCATAATTGATTTAATAAATGCCCACTGGATTAAAGACAATAGGTTTCAATCACTAACTGCATAACCACAAATTTTTGTGCAGGATATCTGCAGACAAACATTTTTCTCTAGCAAATGTACTTTGGTACCAAGATAAAATGGGGAAACTGAAAACAACATACCATTCTATGTAGCTTAGTATAATAGAGCAACAGCTCACCTTAAATGTCAAGGCACAGATTAGTGATAGAATTATTAATTAAAAAATTGCACATATGCAATATACCTGACAGCAGGTGGAAAGACTGGGGACTTAATTTAGTAGTTTCATCATTTGTGATGAGTCTGAAAACACAACTTCAAGATTAACCTTTACCACCAATCCCATGACAGCACTAACAAGTCAGAAAATGGCATTAAATCTTTGAATTAATGCTTTCAGCTCCAATTTGGCCAATAAAAAGGCAAGCAAATACAGCTACAACAAGTTCATAAAACCAACTCAAATTTAAACCCTCAGCTTAAAATAAAAAAAATTAAAAAGTAGAAACATTTATTAATACAAGCAATCCAAAAATATGTACATCAGTTTAAAAAGCAGCAGTCCATCTCTCAAAATGGCTGACACAAATAAAGTGCAAGTGTTCATTCCCACATAAAAATCCTCAGGAGCTGGACAGCAGAGGAGCAGCCAGATCCTTCACAAGTGACGACTTCAACTGAGGAAGGAGGCTGATCTTCATGAGCCTACTGCTGGAGTATTTCTTTTTCACGGTCTGTAAGAGATGGACAACATCAGCCTAGAAATTAGTACAAGTAACCCAATGCTCATGTACCTTTTTGAAAGATTCGCTTTGAATCAAAATCAGGCAAAAGCATACGTGTAACATCTAATAAAAATGCACTTACCACATGCTTTGAGAGTCCTTCATTGACTGTAACCACATTTTTGGCAATCTGTTGCATGATAGGCTTCAGGTGGGCCTCAGCATAGGTGGAGTAGTGTTGTTGGGTTGGTGACTGGAGCAGCAGGGGAAAAAGAAAATAATCCATAAAAGTGTATAGGCGTGTGTGTATGGCAGAGAAGGAAAAAAAGAAAAGGATTACCCATTTTTGGCCATCAAGCACAAGTTGAGAGAGGCACAGAGCAGCAGCTGCAGTCTCAGAAGGCTTATAGTGGACCATGTCATAGTCAAGTAGCGTCAGTTCAAGGAAATATTTTGCCAGTGTATGCTTCTCAGCATCCGCCTAGAAAGCATTTTTAAAAATGGAAGGACTTAACATCTGAAGCTTAGAGAAAAAAAAAAAAAAAAAGAGAAGAAAACTCCTGCCAAACCACAGTGATTATGAAAACCTGCACTTGCATTGCCAGCCTTTGAAGCTCTCCGCAAAAAGTGCAAGGGCAGAGGACGTCCAAGTTCAAAGTTCAGCTCGCTGAGAATCAACATCTCCATCTCTCTGATCTGGGCTTTTGAGAAGGCATCGTCAGCGATGTAGGCAAAGTCCCCAACCAGCGGCACATACATTTCCTCATATTTACAAGCAACCAGCATTGCAGTAACTCCCACTAGCTGGAGCTTCTTTCGGGTCACAGGCTGAACCTGAAAGGGAAAGAAAAAGGGGTTTAGCAATTCCAAACTTCTGTAGATTCAGTCCATAAATAACATTGGTTACAAGGTTTTAAAATCAAATTTGATTAAGTCACTCAGACATTAAAATTCACCAAGTCATCACCCAGAAAGTATACATCAGTATAGCATTCACAGCATAGGGTACGGCATGAACAAGAGAACAACTGACTGTAAAGGTCACCTGGAGAAAGCGATCAAGGATGGCCACAGTCATGTATAAGGTTTCCTGCAGGAGCTGAAATCTTGAGTGCACCTGAATCAGCCAGTCAACCAGGAGAGCACGCATTCGTCCATTGATATCATAACCACGCATATAACGGGGACGAACCGACTGCTGAACCTGCAATGAGAGCACAGAAGATGTAGGAGGAACGAAATGTGGAAAAGACAAGCACTGTAAACGGACAAGCCGCAAGTACCTCAAGGCTTTGTAGATACGCATAGATGTCCTTCACATATTCAGGACACAGCTGAGGCATGTCAGCATCCCCCTCATCGATGTCTTCGACTGGAAAGAGGGTGCTGGAAAAGGCTTGACACAGTTCCTCTTCCTTCATGCTGACGTCAGCTTGAGCAGAGGGGGTCAACGCTGGGGCAGGCGGGGGGACATCATGCTGCACCTGGGCACGTTTGGGTTGCATAACAGCTGGCTGGACAGTCGGTTTAGCGGATTGCAAAGCTTGAACCTTCTGAAATGGAAAGAACAAAGATGAATGCGTGGCATCACGCTGTTGCTCAAACGCACAAGCTGCACGATGGTAACGTTAAATAGACACGCACCTTAACTGGTTTGTGGGAAAAGTTGGAAAGTTCGCCAAACACGGCTCTCCTTGCTGCACCGTTTCCAGGACCGCCTTTGCCACCGATAAACATAGGGTTGTTTACATTGCGCTGTATGAGGAAAGGAAGTAAGAACTAAAACCATGCTCATTCAAGCCATTTCAACACGACTCTTAGCTATTTAACGTTAAGCTAACAAACACGAAGCTGCTTTGACGCTAGCAAGCCTTTTATTAGACAAATATAAACGCATATTTCTGCATTTAATACTCACCAATGCGTGCATTTCCATGACGAATAGGCTTTTCAATAGGTCTTGCTTAAATAAAATATAAAAAAATTAAAAACAGACCGTTTAATTTTTAATGTTCCTTGTCCAACTCAAAACAAACCGCACAGTACTGTACAAAAGGCCTTCTGCTGATTCAAATACTGCTCCGTGCTGTCTGATTGGCCACTGCCTCACGAAATACTCGACTTCGATTGGTTGAAATGGAAAGGGACGCTTTTCAATCATTCATCATCTCCAGTTTCACATTTGTAAAACTCTGTAAAACACGACGTCGACGACATTGAACTGACTCATTTAAAAGTTGTTTGACTGATTCCCTTAGTAATTGTTGGTTAAGTTAGTATGGTGGTGATAATAGTGTCTGCTGATCAAGGACCTTTAATTTTTAAGACAGGGCATTTTTTAAAATGAAACATTTTAAATATAAAACCGGTTTTGGGGATTTAAACCCGCATTTTGTTGCTGTGTGAATGTGGCCTTAGAAAACTCATGCAAAATAAAATTTTAAGACTCCATGTATCTGTTTATAATGAATAGATTTTTTTTTTAGCTATGCCCATTTTTTAATGGGGTACAAATTGTGAATTAATGTTATTTTTAAAATCCTCTTCTGAAATAGTGATTCGTCCATGAACAAATTGTTAAAGTAATTTAATCATTCTTGTTCATTTCCATGTTCTGACCATGAATAATGTTTCCTTCACTTAACTCCATTTTGAATAAAGTGACTGCTGAATAAATAATATTAAAACAGTTTTAGAACAGCCTCGATCTACATTATCCCACTTATTACATTGCTACCTACCAAATAAATCAATAATTTCACACAAAATATTGATTTTAAAAGGAGTTTATTGATTTAAACTAGTATATCCTCCAGAGTGAACAGAACTGTGTCCATGGCAACACTCTGTTTTTCATGGCAACGGTGTGTTAAACCAGAGACAATTTATATACTTGGCAGTGGTCTGTTGTCAAAAAATAAAAGAACGCATTAATACAAATGCATAACTCACTATAAAATGTTTACTCTGTTGAGTGAGTTCAGAACTCACACAAAATATTGACTTGTCGCCACCTAGCGTAACTTGATGAGGGGCTCAAAAGATTCGAGACAATATAATACACCACATTCAGTGGGTTAATAATATTACGGGATTTTTTATTTTTTACAAAAAAAAGCATTCCCCATTTTGAGGGGGTTTGTCACCTTTAACTTCTCAAAAACAAACAAACAAACAGAATCGCAAACACATCGTACTAGACCAATCATTAAAAAAGGTAATGCATTTTACCAGAGACTTGTGATATTAAGGCCAATTCAGTGTTGTGTTGTTTCTATATTTTTATATTGAAATAACGAAAACCTCATAAAACATACAAGCTTGCACCTTCAGTTTATGTGTAACGTAGGCTATAAGCGCTGATCGCATGAGGCTTCCCCAATACAACATAGTAATATATTGGTCCGCATTCATAAACTGCCTTAAAAATATCTTTATAGATTCACAAGAGTCTGTAGCAAACCACTATGAACATTAATTATTCACAATATATTGTCATTTTCGGCAACGGCAAGCCTTTAGGCGATGTTGTTGTCCCGGAGAGTCGTCAAGGATGCGAGAATGTCGTAAAATGTCGAAATGCTCGCTCGCGCGCGCGTGTGTGCGTAGTAGTAGGGCTGTTCACATACACACACATAGCAGCGCTCTAATGGACGCCGCGAATAGGCAGGAATGGGGACTCGCACCCGAGGACAAACGGGGAGGAATTCGAAACATATATGCCCGCTAAATTAAATGTTCTCTCCGTACAATTAGCTCGCCGTGACGTTAAACGTGTGATACTGTAACTCGCGTGCGTATTCTCATACATTTAAAGGGTAATCGTCGAAATATCCGTCAGTTAGCGGGGAGGCTAAAGCGCTGGGCCTCTCTCTCTATCTCCCTCCCTCTCCGGGTTTATTTGACTGTCAGTTTCACACAAGCCTCCGCTGACGTTCACTCGCTTCCCTAATACTTTTCTACTTCTGTCGACGAAAATTGTACACTGGAAAGGGGTTAAGTCCAACGGGGGTAGTTTTCCGACCTGTAAAGAGGTAAGTGTCTCTGTTTATAGTTGTTTTAATGGTAAATTTCAATTGGTATGAGCTATTGTTTGACTAACTGGAGAGGCTAATAGCCCGCCGCTAGCAGTTTCAGTAGAGAGTGTGTTTGTCCCAACACATCCAGGCCCAATGGGCTACTGATACACAACATTATCTGTCACTTTTTGTTTAAACGTGTCTTAGATGTCTGTTTTAGGATGTGTTTTAGAATCTGTATTGCTGTCAACTAATATGTCGAAGGAAGTATCAACATCAACATGCCATTGGTGCCTTTATTTTTCTGTTGTTTATCAAACCCTCGTTGCCTTTGTGTTATGATTTATTGAATTGTTATTGAATCGACGTTGTTATTTGATTGGAAATAGAGATGCTGGTTTCATCTGGTCATTTTGGGACGGAATTGGTCAGCAGCTGGATCAGATTCCAGTCTTTGCATTTACAATAACGCGTTTAATGTGCCCCCCTCTGGGAGCATGACATATGTGCTGTTGACTCCCATAAAGCAGTGACATCTGAAAAGAGATTATTAATACCACCATGGCTCAAACTATTCCTCAGTGATTTGTTCAAAGAATCTTCTCTCTCACGGTGCACTTCCATCATCTGTTTTGAAAAACAAAACCATTCAAATAAGATGCTGTGTTACTACTTTTGCTCCTAATTGTAATAATCTTAATATTCCATAAATATATGAAAATGCTATTCCTGTCATTTGTCTTAATGGCTCATTAAAAATATAATATCTGCCTCTATAAACTAAGGATTCATTTGTGTTAATAATAAAGCGTTTCTGCTTTCCAACATAAGACGTCATGCTTGGTGAAAGAACTAGTGTTTTGTTTAAGACCTATTAATGTAATCTGTGGTTGATCTCTCAATATTTACTAATGTTCTTTTCCAGCTACATATACATTTATTTATTTAACAGACACTGAGAACAATAGAAGCAGTCAAGCTAACAATAGGACAACAACATGCAAGATTGCAAGTTCTAGGAGGACCCTTCCCAGTTTAATCTAACGCAGTACTTGTACTTTTTATTGTATAAAGATAATACATACAGAATGAAAGATGCGTCATCAGCCGTTTCTTGAAAATGGCCACAGACTCTGCAGCTATGTTTGAGTTAGGCAGGTCATTCCACCAGCAGGGAACAGACCAGAAAAAGGTCAAAGAAAGCGATTTTGTGCCTCTTTGAGATGGCACCACAAGACGGCATTCACTTTTAGTGTGCAAGTTTCTGGATGCACATAAGTCAGAAGTAATGAGTTTAGGTAAAAGGCAGTGGTTGTTCTGTTGGTGAAAGTCAGAGACTTGAATTTGATGTGAACAGCAACTGGCAACCAGTGCCATTTTGTGATGAGAGGATTGACCACTCTGGCTGCAGCATTCTGGATCAGTTGTAGAGGTTTGACGGTGCAACCTGGAAGACCAGTAAGAGAACACAATAGTCCAGTCTGGATAGTACAAGGGCTTGGACAAGGAGTTGTCTAGCATGCTCTGATAAGAAAGGCCTGATCCTCCTAATGTTGTACAAGAAAAATCTTCATGACTGGGCAGTTAGCAATGTGGTGTCTGTGAAGTTCAATTGATAATCAATTACAACTCCGAGGTTCCTGGCTGACCTTGATGGATGACAAACCTAGCTGAATGGAGAAGTTGAAGTGTTGGGTTGGCCGGGACCACAAGCAGCTGTTTTCGCAAGGTTTAGTTGAAGGTGGTGGTCCTTCACCCAGCCAGAAATGTCCATCAGGTAGGATGAGATGCGAGCAGCAACCTTTGGATCATCAGGCTGGAATGAAAGGTAGAGTTGTGTGTCATCAGCGTAGCTGTGAAAGAAAAAGCCATGTTTCAGAATCACAGACCATAGTGATGTTATGTAGATGAAGAAGAGTAGTGGTCCAAGCACTGAGCCTTGAGGCACTCCACTTAGCTAGATGTTGGGTCTTAGACAACTCACCCCTCCACCCTACGCAAAACCAAAGTGCACACAAATAGCCGCCTCTCCAGAGTTTCGCAACTTATTATTATACATAAACATTAAAATACACACACAGTTATTTAAAAATGTCCATCTTGGCAAAATATTTGCGTCGGTTTTGTGAATGTGAACAACGTGTAACAGCATATTGTCTCCATCCAGGTGTTAGTGACAGCAGCCTTTTTTCAGTTCCCCACCCTAGTATCGATGATGTAAAACTATTCATGTTTTGCTCTAGAGGCAGTCAAATGCATATTTACCAGTGTAACATCACAAATTCCGCAATATCTAAACAAGCTGTTTTTTGGAGCTTGATTAAATAAATGTTTGACGTCATACAGAAATGAACAACAAATCCTCTTTTTATATTTCTTGTTTTGTAAGATTTTATGTATTTTACTATATTTCATTATATTTTAGTTGTTCCATTACAGTATCTAGTAGGGTTGTTTCACTGCAGATTAGTCTATTCAAAGTTAATCGTTTTAGTCGAATGTGTTGCTTTACAGTTATTCTCTTATGTTTGGGCTGTGTGTCATGTCATGCTATTGCTTATGGCGGAGCTACTCAACATAGATATACACAGCGATCCCTGGGGAAGGAATTAAAACAGCCCCCTAAAATCCCCGATCTTTTGAAATCTGTATCCACCTTGGCGTCAAGAGGCACTGCCACAATATGGGGCCCTCTGGGGCCGCTTCATGGCGATGCTGTGGTGCACTTTGTTGCATGGCACAGCGGTACATCACAGGTTGACAGGATCAGTCTCAGAGGAGCCTGGGAGAGCAGTCTAGCTCAGGGACAACGATGAACACAGTTCGAGTGAAGAGTGAAAATTGTGCTAAGAAACATTATAAATAATAATGAATAAATCAGTTTAGTTTAGTCATGCAATAGAAGCCCTACTTTTTTATTTGGTGCATGTCTGGGAGTCTGGCAGTAACAAAAATATTTACAGCAGGGATAGATTTTAAAACCTGTTTTTATGTGTGTGTTTTCTGATTATACATAAAAAATGTTTCTCAATGTTCCCCTTTTTAAT